GTGCTGAATTTATATCTCTTCATTGCAGACAATAAGCTCTATCTATCCCACTCAGTATCCCATCTGCATATTGAAAGTTAGAATTTAAGCGGTAATTTATGTCCTTTAAAAGTTTGGATGGGTCAAAAACAGGCCAATCTATTATAAGACTTCAAACCTAAGCTCTCTCAAACAACATTTCTTTGGTCCATGAGTCCCACAATCCCACGGCAGATTAGGTCAGCTGATAATTATGATCTAAATTTACTATTGAAGCTATTGATGTGTTTTCTCTCTCATATTTTTATGTTTTGTTCATTTTATGCTGCAGTTCATAGCAGCTTTTTATATATTTTTAAGTTTGTGTTATATTTTCACTTATTAAAAATATTTTTTTTTCATGAAAACCAGTTCATTGTTGGATGTTTAACAATCGGAGAACTCAGGAACGAGATGGTTGTCAATTATTTAATATATCTCAGTATTGTATAACCTAGATTACAATACAATGTTTTTCTTTTCCACAATAGATCCCAATATAGCAATGGCCCCTACTATATAGAAATTGCACCATTGTCATTCAATGCTTTGTCTGTGTTAGCATTGATTTTGTTTTTAACCATAAAATGGAGTTGGAATCAGAAGTAATTGGAGAACTGGTGGTGGGTTAGGCAAGGCTTTAGCTTTTGCTGGCTGCTATTGATAGGAGTTGATGTTTTACACCAGTTTCCAGTCCTAACAGAACACACAGATAGCAGCGTTCACGTCTTGCAGACATTTTTATAAGTCACCGCACTGACGTCCGTCATGTCTTATTATCACGTTCATTATCACCAGCTGCCAACATGACAAAGACATTTCCATAAATTTACATAGCAGATATGACTACGACTGTGCGAGACAATCTCGGGAACTGGCATTGACCATAACCGCCTCCTCCTGCATGGTAATATGTCCATGTTGGAATACATAAAATAAACATAGGATAACTGGGGATTTTGTCATTCATATAATGGGAAAACCACAGTTTAAATAAATTAATTAAATACAAAAGGCTTCTGTTCAATTTAAAAGACTATGACGGCAAGGTTATAATATTGGGCATTAATTCAGAACTATTATTATAGAGCTGCATTCATAGTAGCGCAGTGTCAGTGCAGGTCACTCCAGAGTGGTACATGTCCCTGCATGTGTAAGTGTGTACCTTAGGATCAGTGGCGGCTGATGAAGTGTGGGGCATCAGACTTCTCCCTCAGAATTTTACTCTTCCGTACACAGTAGATGTTCATACAATAAAACAAGTTTGGCACAACATAAAGATATCTATAAAATACAGAGAGCTGAATACATACAGATATAATTGAACCACAAACAGATATAATAAAATACAAAGAAACCAATACGATATGTAGAGCTGCTCACAATACAAAGATTTGCTAAATTTATGACAAAATAGTCAAATTTCAACATAGAATTAATTTTTTTGGATTTCATTGCCCTAAAATTCACTATTTAACGAATAAACCAAGCTAGGGTTAATTTTTATACATTGTGACTTTACAGGGATTCAAAGTGACTGTGCCATTTTAGGCCACAATTAGCCAAACTGGAAAAATACTCCAAACCAATTCTGTATCTGTCAAAATAAAAGTAAAGTTCAAGATTACATAGGTTGGTGAATATATACCTGGCTGGCCATGCATTATGGGTAATGTAATTCTAATAAAAGCTGGAAGTCCAGGCTTGGATGACCTTAGAAAGATGCCGATTTGTAGAAATCAAGATGTATATATATAGGAAGAAGAAAAGTTATGGTGGGTATGGTGGGGCAAAAAATGTGATTGAAAACCCCTTCCACCTGAAGTCTGTGGATACTTAATAAAATGTTAAACAAAAATCTGCACACCAGTCAAGCCATAAGACTTGCTTTTCCCACAGAAATCACAAATCTGCAGTGATGTTACTACCGCAAAGGATTCTGGGTGGGCATATGCAAATTAGTTTAACAAAGAATCACATTTTTGCTTCATTCCATTTTAAATATGGATTCATTTGAGTCTGTGTTTGTTGTATACAACAGCTTTGAAGCACAACTTAGGAAAAGATGCAGATTTGTGATCTCTGTGGGAAAAGCACTATACATACGTTTACGTTACAAGGATAGCACTGAACACAAATATATATATTCATGATATATGAACCTTCTAAATAAATGTTTACACATCGTGACATGGGCTGCAATGTGTTTGCATGAATGAGACGGTAGTGCTATGTAAACACATTCCTGCGTCAAACAGCAGGTGCCCTACGCTACATGCTGTAAGCTATCACTGAAGGAAATATACCCGAGAGTTCCACAGAAAATAATCGTGTGTCTAATGACAGAATGACAGGTCACAATGTGTGAATCAAAGACAGCACCACATGAAAAATCGGATCGTTAAAGTGTGCAAGTGGCATCTATGGCCAATCATGACTGAATGAATAATTGCACAAGTAGTTAATTAAATAAATGAACAAGGATGAATGAGAGAACTTTACAAATTTCAATGTGTGAACATGTAGCAAGAACATATTGCAGGTTATTTAAAGATCCAGTTTCCTACGACATTGCTATCTGAAACATGACAATGAATGGATTTTTCCAGCTTGGGGAATTAGGTCTAAATTTTGTTTGTCATGTCAGCAAATATTGGTATTTAACAGAGAGACCCAACAAAAGTGTAATTTGTCTGTAGTTATAATAAAAGGAAATTTAGATGTTTATTGCTGCTTACATTGTCTCACTGTATCCATTAACCTTTGTATAACAAATTGCTGTCTAATATGTATGTTAATACCTTGTTTCTGAAATTCCACAAAATAAGAATTGTGGCGGACAGCCTGGCACCCCGACTGGGTTCCTCTGCCAATCGCTGCTTACTAGTAATTGCGAGCACCATAAGCACCTCACTGGAACACCATAACTACCGTAAACCCCACAGCCAGTGTTACAGCTTGGTTGGGGTCCTCCACCCTCCACCGGAAGTCATAATTTTGACTGCACATGGTCCTATGCCCAAAACAGTTCCAGGGAATCAGGGCGAATGGTCGGTCTCTCTGTATGGAGTACAAAAGTACATAGTTCACATGAACAGAGCCTTTTTAAAGTGCATTGTGAAGGTATATTGCAAGGCCCATAGTCCTGAGGCAGGAGGCTGGCAAGCAGGCCCCTCCAGGAGCCCGTAGCGAGATTCTGTTTGCCCCAAGAATGTTTTGTTTTTGTTTTTAAAAAGAGCAAAAAATTAATTTCAAATGTTAGTTGAAAATGGCTAAACTGGCAAAAATGTCCAAGTCATTGTAAAAGTTTATCCAAAAATATTAAATCATTTGAAAATCTTATCGGAAAAGAATAAATTGAGGCCACCCTTCGAAATTAAATCATTTTAGCTCCTTTGGTAAGAAAAGACAATATTGTAAACAATTTTTACTATTTTACTAACTTGGTTAAGGAAAAATTTAACTTGAAATATCTAACTTCAATCAATGTAAGTAAATAGATACACGGTGGTCTAAAAGCCCCCCATTATAGCTTCATTCGGATGCACAGATCGCGTTGCGAGTTTATCATACCCGGCGATGTCATTTCGGAAGGCTCTAAATGCAGACAGATGGTGATGAAGAAAGATTTGCAATTTGTTCCGTATCACAAAGAAACATTGTCTATTTATAACGACAAGCAATTGGCCAGAACTTAGAGCTGTGCTTTAGTGTGGAAGATAAACTGTGCACCGACTCTCAAGTCTAGCTTCAGCGAAATCTCGATGTATGACAAGAGAAGAGCAGTTGGTTTCATGGGGGTGGAAATGATCTATAATGAGCTTTATCAAAACAAGTAGCACTTGACCTGGAAAACACTCCCCAGTCAAATGGCAAACAACTTGATAATGCACTTGAAGTTGCCATGACGACTTCCAATAGCGATCAATCAGCAAGCTCAGGTTAGACTGCAATAGAATGGAGATGTGTTACACTTAGGATTAAAACCTTTACACATAAAGTAGTGAGCTGCAATAATACAATAAGCTGCAATAATACAATGAGCTGTAATAATACAATAAGCTGCAATAATACACTGAGCTGCAATAATACAATAAGCTGTAATAATACAATGAGCTGTAATACTACAATGAGCTGTAATAATACAATGAGCTGTAATACTACAATGGACAATAATAATACAATAAGCTGCAATAATACAATAAGCTGTAATAATACAATGAGCTGTAATAATACAATAAGCTGTAATAATACAATAAGCTGTAGTAATACAATAAGCTGTAATACTACAATAAGCTGCAATAATACAATAAGATGCAATACTACAATAAGCTTCAATAATACAATAAGCTGTAATACTACAATGGACAATAATAATACAATAAGCTGTAATGATACACAGTGCTGTAATAATCGACTGAGCTGCAATAATAACAATAAGCTGTAATAATACAATGAGCTGTAATAACACAATAAGCTGTAATACTACAATGGACAATAATAATACAATAAGCTGTAATAATACAATGAGCTGTAATAAGCTGCAATAATACACTGAGCTGCAATAATACAATAGGCTGTAATAATACACTGAGCTACAATAATACAATAAGCTGTAGTAATACAATGAGCTGTAATAATACTTTAGCGGAGCTTCCTGTACCCCAGTTGGGTACCTCTGCCGACGGATTCTCCTAGTGTTCACCAAGGACCATCAGCACCGCACCGGATACCATAAACACTGCAGACCCCATGAACCTCCGAGAGTCAAACAGGAACAGCTCTTATAAGCGCTAGTAGTGATTATCGAAGGGAGTATGAAGCTCATAGCAATCCCTTGTAGTGATATAGCAATTCCCCCCAATAAGAGACAAGACTCGAGATTGAGGGTGAAGTAGAACTGAAGATTTAATGGCACATACTGGTCTTTTATACCGTTTTCCCCACAAGGTTACCGCCAAGGTGGACCTTGTGATGCACAGGACATGAAATTCACAATCCAATAAAAACAGAGTTTTACACGTCAACACTCCCAGTTACTGTACACAAACCCTCCCCTCTGCCTGTGATACAATTAACAAACCCCAAAAAGTACCCCAAAATACAACATATCCCCACCCCTGATAGCCCCGATCTGGGTGAACAACATATCCAAAAATCACCCAGATCGGTTCAGGGGTTCAGGAATTTCCTGGAAGTCTTATTTTTGCCCCATCGTGCACATGGTCCCATGCCCAAAACAATTCCATACACCTGACGACAAAACACTGTGGACAATTTAAGATGGCCGCCACCACATGTTTGAATGTGTTCCAGTTAAAAGTCCAAGGGGCAGAAACAGTACTTTTGAACATGGGTTATCACAGGGCCCATAGTCCCAGGGTAGGAGGCTGACAAACAGGCCACTCCAAAAACAGTGGCGAGGTTACTTTCGCCACAAATACAATAAGCTGTAACAATACAGTAAGCTGTAATAATATACTGAGCGGTAATAACACAATGAACTGTATAATACAATAAGCTGTAATAACACAATGAGCTATAATAATACAATGAGCGGTAATAACACAATGCGCTATAATAATTCAATGAGATGTAATAACACAATGAGCTGTAATAATACAATGAACTGTATAATACAATAAGCTGTGATAACACAATGAGCTGTAATAATACAATGGACTGTATAATACAATAAGCTGTGATAACACAATGAGCTGTAATAATATACTGCGCTGTAATAACACAATGAGCTATAATAATACAATGAGCTGTAATAACACAATGAGCTGTAATAATACAATGAGCTGTAATAACACAATGAGGTTTTATGGCAGTGATGTTACACTGCTCCTCTAAAAAAACAAAACCTAGAAAACCAGTTCAATAAATTCAAATATTGCTTGGCATCTAATGAATGGATTGAAGCTCAGGTATATAAGAGATAACCCAATGGTCATAGTTACAGCTCGTTATACTGTTACATCTAATTGTATTATTACAGTTTATCGTATTATTACATCTTATTGTATTATTACAGCTCATTGTATTATTACAGCTCATTGTGTTATTACATCTTATCATATTATTACAGTTTATTGGATTATTACAGCTCATTGTATTATTACAGCTCATTGTGTTATTACATCTTATTGTATTATTACAGCTCATTGTATTATTACAGCTCATTGTGTAATTACATCTTATCGTATTATTACAGTTTATTGGATTATTACAGCTCATTGTATTATTACAGCTCACTGTGTTATTACATTTTAGTGTATTATTACAGTTTATTGGATTATTACAGTTTATTGGATTATTACAGCTCATTGTGTTATTACAGCTTATTGCATTATTACAGCTCATTGTGTTATTACAGTTTATCGTATTATTACAGCTTATTGTATCATTAGAGCTCATTATACTGTAACATCTAATTGTATTATTACAGTTTATCGTAGTATTACAGCTTATTGTATTATTACATCTCATTGTATTATTACATTTTATTGTATTATTACAGCCTATTGGATTATTACAGCTCATTGTATTATTACAGCTCATTGTGTTATTACATCTTATCGTATTATTACAGCTTATTGTGTTATTACAGCTCATTGTGTAATTACATGTTATCGCATTATTACAGCTTATTGTATTATTACAGCTCATTGTATTATTACAGCTCATTGTGTTATTACATCTTATCGTATTATTACAGTTTATCGTATTATTACAGCTTTTTGTATTATTACAGCTCATTGTATTATTACAGCTCAGTGTTATTACAGCTTATTGTATTATTACAGCTCATTGTATCATTACAGCTTATTGCATAATTACATCTCATTTTATTATTACAGCTCATTTTATTATTACACACAGCTCGTTGTATTTTTGCAGCTTATTTTATTATTATAAAATGTCACATTACCCAGGGGCATCCGTATCAGCTTGATGAGGTATATATATCCCATGTCAGTGTTCCCTTTAAGAAGTTTAATGTGAACTTTCTATAACTGAATCAGTTAAACCAGGTATCTGTATAACACCCACAAACATTCATTTACATAGAGATAGGCCCTGCCACCCAAACCACAGGCTCCACCTGCTATAAACATCTATTTATTTAGGCTGCAGTTCTTAGAGGGCAGGTACTGCTTTCAGGCCCTCTCTGTACCAAGCAGTTTGCCTTTTATTGGTTATTGACTTTGTATATGGAAAGTGATGAAAAACATGATGGCTGTTCCTATGGAAACTTCAACTCTATTACCAAGGCTAATGTTAGCTAACTTATTCTGTATTTCCTTGTCATTGAGATATGTCATGTTTGTTTGATATTGTAGTTCCATGCCGAACACGCTGTGCGCAGCCCAAAGCACGCCCTTTGCAAGAACAGCCACTTCATTTGGCTAAAATATCACGCAAGCCGTTAACAGAAATGCAATTTACTTTATAACTACTAATAAAGTTTGAATTCCAATTAGTTTTGTTACCAAGTCTTCCAATACCTAGATAATGAACAGAAACGCACAGAGCCAGAATCGAGGAAGGACGGAGGAAGAGTCGTAAAGATATTGAATTTGCGCCTGTTAAGGCTATGCTATAAAATACGCTGGATGGCTATTTAAACAAGGCAGGATGAAATAATTACTGTAGATGGGATTGGGGGAGAACTGAATCTGACAAGAGGATTTTTTACATTCTGTGTGAAAAGATTACAAAGTGTTTGAATGTGTGTGTGTATCTGTATCAATGTATGCATATGAGTGTGTGCATGCATGTCTCTGTGCCCGATGACAGGTATATTTACATGTGTTTGCATCCATGAATGTGTATAAATGTGCGTGTGTGTGTGAGTGCCTGTGTTTGTCGATGAGTGTGTACATGTGTGTGCTGGGAATGCATGTTTTGTATGTGTTCATGTATGTGATACAGGTGTGTGCATGTAGGAGTCTGTTTGTAGATGTGCTTAGCACACGTATGTGTATACGTGCGTGTTGTGTGTTTGTATGTGGATCATTGCTCAGGTTTGCAGTCAGTCACTGTTAAATGCCTAAACATTGTTTGAGAAGTACGACTCCAATGATGCCTAGCCGACAGTATCACTGGTACTAAGACGCTTGCTACATTGTTTGCCATGTCACCACACGTGTTTTTAAGACATTGGCTCCTGATCGCCCCCAGGCTCAATACACAATACTCAGTGCCAATTACAGGAATTACTGGCTGGCAACGCTCCGGCACAGGTTGCTGCTGTCAAACAAATCATAGAGAATCCTGTGAGCAGGTCTGGGGGCCGTGACTCACTGCAAGTCATATCAAGCTAAGTGGACAGGGAATTCAGAGAAGGAGCCAGGAAACTGGAGCAAAAGCGGCCGGCTGAAGCTTTAACAGATTTATATGGAGAGCAAAGGGAGGAAGGAGACATGAGACCCTCAAATACATCAAAGAGTTAAATAATGAGAACAAAGAAAAATGTTTGACCATACAGAGTGGAGATATACCACTATATAGAAAGGGTAGTAGATACCTGGAATAGCCTTCCAGTGGGAGCAGTAACAGTGATATAGAAAGGGTAGTAGATACAAGGAATAGCCTTCCAGTGGGAGCAGTAACAGTGATATAGAAAGGGTAGTAGAAACCTGGAATAGCCTTCCAGCGGGAGCAGTAACAGCGATATAGAAAGGGTAGTAGATACCTGGAATAGCCTTCCAGTGGGATCAGTAACAGTGATGCAGAAAGGGTAGTAGATACCTGGAATCGCCTTCCAGTGGGAGCAGTAACAGTGATATAGAAAGGGTAGTAGATACCTGGAATAGCCTTCCAGTGGGAGCAGTAACAGTGATATAGAAAGTGTAGTAGATACCTGGAATAGCCTTCCAGTGGGAGCAGTAAAGTCTAACAGTGATATAGAAAGGGTAGTAGATACCTGGAATAGCCTTCCAGTGGGAGCAGTAACCGTGATATAGAAAGGGTAGTAGATACCTGGAATAGCCTTCCAGTGGGAACAGTAAAGGCTAACAGTGATATAGAAAAGGTAGTAGATACCTGGAATAGCCTTCCAGTGGAAGCAGTAAAGGCTAACAGTGATATAGAAAGGTTAGTAGATACCTGGAAAAGTGTTCCAGTGGGAGCAGTAACATTGATATAGAAAGGGTAGTAGATACCTGGAAAAGCCTTCCAGTGGAAGCAGTAAAGACTAACAGTAATATAGAAAGGGTAGTAGATACCTTGAATAGCCTTCCAGTGGGAGCAGTAACAGTGATATAGAAAGGGTAGTAGATTCATTGAATAGCCCTCCAGTGGGTGCAGTAACAGTGATATAAAAAGGGTAGCCTTCCAGTGGAAGTGGAAATAGCTGAATTAATTTTTTTTTGCAAACTCTACTACATAATACGTTCGGTTATTTTGGTTGAAAATGTGCAATTCTATTACAGTCACCACAAATCCCATTTTGGCAAAGACACTGCACTTATGACAAAATATAATTTAAAAAAATCTTTAACCCCTTTGCAGCTAAATGACTGTGTAATTCAGCAAAAATCCTTCAGCAAGAAACTTAACGTGATCTGAAAAAACAAAACAAACCTGTGATACAACAAACAGTGCAGTTTTTTATTTGTTCTGATCAGTCGTTAATCAGCTCTGCATCTCTGAGATGCAACATCTAATTACTGCTGGCAGGGAGGTGTGAATACATTGCTGAGTTGGTACAGGCTAATTCCTGGCTCACTGCAAAGCATAACGATTCATTTCCTTAGTAAACTCCAAGAGTTGTGTAGTTTTGTTGAAATTAATAATAACACAAAGAAAAAAAGATTTCGATATTTTATCTTCAAAATTTGCAATGCTTAGAGAAGAATCATTACAGCACCCCAATCTCTATTTGATAAGAATCATCTACTTAGACCCCAAAAAAATGAAAATGTATACTTTATGAAAATGAAAATATCAACCCAAAATTATTCCTTTTATCAATTCATCAAAAATCACAGAAATGACAAACACATAGGGGTTCCGAATAATAATAATAATAATAAATTAAAATGAGTGAGAATAATCAATTATCCTAAGATTGGTTCTGTGTAAAGATCACATCTGGGTTAACATTCCACTGGTTTCCATGGCAACTGCTCCACTTTTAGCCCAGAATTGCACTCTCTACCAGACTCATTGAATGTCGGATATAGTGTAACTCTAATGATAGAAAGAGATTAGAATATTGCTCGCATTAACCTGTTTTTGTACTTCCCCAATATCAGGACAATTAACCCTTTCTGTCCCATGTGATGCTCAATTTTCCATCGAGTTAGAGTAGAGTCAATCTAAAAGGGGCTAAAGCAGCTGTTTTTCCTGACAAAGCTTGAACCTTGAGATTAACCGCCGTTCCTCCAAGAAACTTTCTCACGTTGCCTGCGATTTTCTGATTTGTCAGCTACCAAATGAGATAAAATTTACCTTAAAGAAATATTCTGAACGTTTGTCTTTTTCCGCCCACATCTTGGCAGCCATTATCACTTTTCAAAATCCATTTCTAAAGAGCAGAGAAAGAAAGGAAAAGCAGGTTTTAACGTCACATAAAGAAATAAATACAGTTGGCAACGTAGTGGATTCTTGGGCATAATACCCCCAGTTTCTGGCAATGATGTACACATTAATGGCCACAGCGCTTGATCTGCTATATTTTCATTAACTTGTAATTAGAACATCATTTTTTTCCTTTTCTTTTCAGGGACACACAAGGTCGATGTGCATATCTCTCAGTTAGTCTTTTTCTGGCAGTTTCCAGATCTTCCCTCATTGTCGTACTGGGGTTTGCTTAGGGGCTTTGTGTGCGAAGTGAAAGGATTGCGTGGATTGGAGCTATAATTGCACCTTCTGCATTAATATCTTACATGGAGCTTGGATAAGCAGGAGATATGGTTTTAAATGGTGCCCACAGTCCCAGACTAGAGCTATCTACACAACTGGGCACAACTTTTAGTTCATGCAGATTAAATTCTCAATGTATTACATTCCCAGATACCAAAACTCAATGCATGGAATTACCGGCACAATGCATGGAATTACCAGCACAATGCATGGAATTACCAGCACAATGCATGGAATTACCGGCACAATGCATGGAATTACTGGCACAATGAATGGAATTACCGGCACAATGCATGGAATTACCAGCACAATGCATGGAATTATCGGCACAATGCATGGAATTGCCGGCACAATGCATGAAATTGCACAATACATGGAATTACCAGCACTCATGGAATTACCAGCACAATGCATGGAATTACCGGCACAATGCATGGAATTACCAGCACAATGCATGGAATTACCGGCACAATACATGGAATTACCAGCACAATGCATGGAATTACCGGCACAATGAATGGAATTACCAGCACAATGCATGGAATTACCAGCACAATGCATGGAATTACCGGCACAATACATGGAATTACCGGCACAATGCATGGAATTACCAGCACAATGCATGGAATTACCAGCACAATGCATGGAATTACCAGCACAATGCATGGAATTACCGGCACAATACATGGAATTACCAGCACAATACATGGAATTACCAGCACAATACATGGAATTACCAGCACAATGCATGGAATTACCAGCACAATGCATGGAATTACCGGCACAATGCATGGAATTACCGGCACAATGAATGGAATTACCAGCACAATACATGGAATTACCAGCACAATGCATGGAATTACCGGCACAATGCATGGAATTACCAGCACAATACATGGAATTACCAGCACAATGCATGGAATTACCGGCACAATGCATGGAATTACCGGCACAATGCATGGAATTACCAGCACAATACATGGAATTACCAGCACAATGCATGGAATTACCGGCACAATGCATGGAATTACCAGCACAATGCATGGAATTACCAGCACAATGCATGGAATTACCGGCACAATGCATGGAATTACCAGCACAATACATGGAATTACCAGCACAATGCATGGAATTACCGGCACAATGCATGGAATTACCAGCACAATACATGGAATTACCAGCACAATGCATGGAATTACCGGCACAATGCATGGAATTACCCGCACAATGCATGGAATTACCAGCACAATGCATGGAATTACCAGCACAATGCATGGAATTACTGGCACAATGAATGGAATTACCGCACAATGCATGGAGTTACCGGTGCAATGCATGGAATTACCAGCGCAATACATGGAATTACTGGCACAATGAATGGAATTACCGGCACAATGCATGGAATTACCGCACAATGCATGGAATTACCAGCACAATACATGGAATTACCGGCACAATACATGGAATTACCGGCACAATGCATGGAATTACCGCACAATGCATGGAATTACCAGCACAATGCATGGAATTACCAGCACAATGCATGGAATTACTGGCACAATGAATGGAATTACCGCACAATGCATGGAATTACACATTGTATACATGGAATTACCAGCACAATGCATGGAATTACCGGCACAATGCATGGAATTACCGCACAATGCATGGAATTGCACAATATGGAATTACCGGCACAATACATGGAATTACCGCACAATACCGGCACAATGCATGGAATTACCAGCACAATGCATGGAATTACCGGCACAATGAATGGAATTACCAGCACAATGCATGGAATTACTGGCACAATGAATGGAATTACCGGCACAATGCATGGAATTACCGGTGCAATGCATGGAATTACCGGCACAATGCATGGAATTACCGGCACAATGCATGGAATTACCGGCGCAATGCATGGAATTACCAGCACAATGCATGGAATTACCGGCACAATGAATGGAATTACCAGCACAATGCATGGAATTACTGGCACAATGAATGGAATTACCGGCACAATGCATGGAATTACCGGTGCAATGCATGGAATTACCGGCACAATGCATGGAATTACCGGCACAATGCATGGAATTACCGGCGCAATGCATGGAATTACCAGCACAATGCATGGAATTACTGGCACAATGCATGGAATTATCAGTTCACGGAATTACCAGCACAATGCATGGAATTACCGGCACAATGCATGGAATTATTGGCATAATGCATGGAATTACCAGCACAATGCATGGAATTACCAGCACAAATGTCCACCGCTGGGGAGGTTTCCAGTGTTTCATGGTGAATGGGCAGATTCTCAGGTTCAAGGGGAAGAATATCAGGGGTTAAAAAAACATACAGGTTAATGGGCATATTCTACAGGTGAATGGGCAGAATATCAGGTTATAAATAGGCAGATTCTCAGGACAAATGGGCATATCCTCAGTGTAAATGGGCAGATTCTGTAAGTGAATGGGCAGATTGTTTGGATGAGTGAGCAGATTCTCAGGGTGAATGGACAGATTCTCAGGGTGAATGTGCAGATTCTAGGGGTGAATTTGTAGATTCTATGGGTGGATGGGCAGATTCTCAGAGTGAATGGGCAGATTCTCAGAGTGAATAGGCAAATTCTCAGGGTGAATGGGCAGATGGGCAGATTCAATGGGCAGATTCCTAGGATAAACGGGCAGGATATCAATGTGAATGGTCAGTTTTTCAGGGTAGGACCCCAGATTGCCTGGAGACCACCAGGACCACCCTTATAGATTACCCTTGCCCAACACAATGTAGCAGATATTACTAAGCGGCTAGAGATTGTTCTGGTTCTGTCTGGCATACTCATCAGAGGGTGAGTGAAGAGGGCACATTATATTCCTTAATTACAAAGTGGTCCTGCCAATTCTCACATATGGTTTTCAGAGCCAGGGCCACCAAATTACGTCTTTCCTAGCTGATTGGCGATCCTAAGTACCCCTGTTTAAATGAATGGTTACAAACTGTGGGACCCCTCCACTAATATGATCTAGGCTTCATTTAGAGTTTGCTAGTTTTTTTTCGTCGGTGAGTAGAAGGATAACAAATAGGAGAAATGTTCAATATCAAATATAACTTGTATTGGGCATTTGTGCACCCACTTCCCGGTAATGCCTCATGTGGAGTGCCATTAAATCGCGAGTATATCAAGAACCAAACAAGAGAAATAATTAAATTACATTAGGAAAATTTGAATATTGGAAAATTGGTTGGTTTATCCAAATTGCACCCAAAATCTACACACCATTCCATGTACTGACACATAGAAGACTTACATTAACCTAATCGAATCGCTTGTTGCCAGGATCCATCAGATAAACGCATTCTGCTATTTTTTCTGTTAGTGTGATATATACTAAATTCATTTTATTAGCTTTCTGGTATATTTCATTTGTATTTTTTACAACAGCAGTAAACTCAGGCACCACGTATATATTGAATTGAATTTATCGTATTTCCGCAGCTCACAAGTGGCGGATCGGGATCTGGATTTTAACCCCAAGAGAGCTGGAGGGGGGAATGTTGCATAATGTTAACCAGTGCATTACACTCCTCATTAGCACAGGTAAGGTTAACCCTTTGAGTGCAAGAGCTGTCACAGCTTGCAAAGTGATGCATTGGGCACAGCTGTGACCCTCAAACAGTTAAATATATGACTACATACATATATATGTACATGTATAAATAACCACAACTCTCAAAGGCTATGGGACAAGAGACCTCAAACCTGCAGCTATCTTTAAATTAAACCTTCCTTCTCCTTCAATCACTTCCTTCCTTGGAGGTAAAAACTTGACAGATGTCTCCGGGAAAATTCTCTGGTGTCATTTTTAAATAGAGACAAAAAAAAAAATAACTCAGTAAAAGAGAGGAGAGGGGGATGAGTGACAGAGGGAAGGAGGATAGAATTCAGCAGCGGAAACAGGGAGACAGATTAAACGCTCTACATGAGAGACACACAGGAGAGTGACAGATCACAAGTGACAGAGAAGAGACACAGGGATGATAATGAGAGGTGGCAGCAAGGGAAGCAATGAGGGCGAAGGAGAGAGAGATTAAAACCAAGTGGGTGGGAGAGGAATAAATATCGCCTCTCGCCCAGAATGCAGCCAGGGTCTCAGTGCAGGGTGTTTGAAGATTTACATGGTTAGAGTGGAGGGACATCACTGTAAGGAAAGGGTTAATACATAGGCACTGTAATACATAAAATATACAATAATACATGTTTAACTAAAATCTTAATTGCAGACCTTGGCCCAGTGACATGTAGCAAGGGTTAGTGAACTGAATGTCACCCATACTGTGTGCTGACCCACCCTTGCTCTGTGCTCACTGGCCCATGCTGTGTTATGACCCACCGATGCTGTGTGCTGACTGGCCCATGCTGTGTTCTGACCCACCCACATTGTGTGCTGACCCATTAATGCTCGGTTCTGACCCACCCATGCTGTGTTCTGACCCACCCATGCTATGTTCTGACCTACCCATGCTATGTTCTGACCTACCCATGCTGTGTGCTGACTGGCGCATGCTGTGTTCTGACACACCCATGATGTATTCTGACCTACCCATGCTGTGTTCTGACCCACCCATGCTGTTTGCTGACTGGCCCATGCTGTGTTCTGATCTTCCCATGCTGTGTTCTGACCCACCCATGCTGTGTGCTGACTGGCCCATGTTGTGTTCTGATCTGCCCATGCTGTGTTCTGACCCACCCATGCTGTGTGCTGACTGGCCCATGTTGTGTGCTGATCTGCCCATGCTGTGTTCTGACCCACCAATATTTTGTGCTGACCCGGCCATGCTGTGTTCTGACCCACCAATACTGTGGGCTGACTGGCCCATACCATGTGCTGACTGGCCCATGCTGTGTGCTGACCCGCACATAAGGTGTTCTGTCACAACCATACTGTGTGCTGATCTGCCCATGGTGTTTTGTGACCCACTCATGCTGTGTGCTGACCAACGCGTGCTGTGTACCCTCTGGGCCACGCTTTTCAACCACCCACCCATCTTGTGTGCTGTCCCACTTATGTTGCATTTTGTCCAACCCAAACTACATGTTAGAAATCCCCTGCTGTACATCGACCAACCCATGCTGATCACTCACACACCCATGCTGATCACTCACACACCCATACTGAGCACAGGCCCACCCACACTGAGCACTCACACACCCATAGTGAGCACACGCCGACCCATACTGAGCACTCACTTAGCCATACCATGTACACCATGCTGAGCACAGGCCCACCCATGTCAAGCACAGGCCAACCCATACTGAGCACAGGCCCACCCATATTGAGCACATGCCCACCCATATTGAGCACAGGCCCACCCATACCGAGCATAGGCCCATCCAAGCTGAGTACACACCGACCCATATTGAGCACAGGCCCACCCATGCTGAGCACTGGCCCACCCCTACCGAGCATAGGCCCATCCATGCTGAGCACACACTGACCCATACCAAGCACAGGCCCACCCATACTGAGCACTCACTTAGCCATACCGAGCACAGTCCCACCCATACTGAGCACAGGCCCACACATACTGAGCACAGGCCCATCCATACTGAGCACTCACTTAGCCATACCGAGCACAGTCCCACCCATACTGAGCACATGCCCACCCATACTGAGAACTCACTTAGCCATACCATGTACAAGCCCACCCATACCGAGCACAGGCCCACCCATGCTGAGCACAAGCCCACCCCTACCAAGCACAGGCCCACCCATACCGAGCACAGGCCCACCCATGCCGTGTACAGGCCCACCCATGCTGAGCACACGCCGACCCATAGTGAGCACAGGCCCACCCATACCAAGCACACGCCCACCTATAGTGAGCACACGCCCACCCATACTGTTTGCTGTGCACCAAGTCACCCAGCACTTTGACTCCAAACAGCTCAGTACATGCCCCAATTTCCCAGCCTCATTGTGTTAAAAATAGTGTATTTCTAGATGAGAAGACATTGGTAATAATCCTGGTTTTGGGATATACCTATTATACAGTGCTACGGAATTTGCTGGCGCTATATAAATTAAAAAAAATAATAATATACATTAACCCTCTAACCAAATTCAACCTCCCCAATGTATCAGAAAAGCAGCTGTCGTTTCCCCAATGTGATCAATTTACTCTAAACTCAACCAATGAAAGTACGGACGGCGAGGATTCACATGGGAAAAAAATACTACTACAAAAAGGCTTACATTTCTGTGAGATATGGAGATAATCCCAGGAAAATAAAGTCTGAGAGTAAGATAAAGCCATTTATATGGAGGTTTTAAAAAGGAAAGTTAGTTTTTGTGATGGTCTATAACAGTTTAAAGAGTTTTTACTTAGGTCGATGTGGCTGCTTTAATAAATGTGACAAGTTGTATAGTTGAGATTTAGTCTGTTGTATTCATTCCAGAGCATTTATCAACCGAATGACTCCCTGTGCGAATCGGACAGACTGTGTGATACAGACTTTTACTGACTGAGACTGTCTGCAGCAACTATATTCTGATTGACAGAAAGAGACAGACAGAGAGCATAAGACAGTGAGGGACAGAGAGAGAGAGAAAGGGAGACACGACAGAGAAAGAGAGAGAGTGGAGAGAAAGAGACAGACAGAGAGACAGACCGAGAGAGTAAGACAGCGAGGGACAGAGACAGAGAGAGATAATGGGACAGAAAGAGACAGACAGACAGAGAGCGTAAGACAGCAAGGGACAGAGAGAAAGAGAGAGGGAGATGAACCAGAGAAAGAGAAAGAGGGGAGAGAAATAGACAAACAGAGAGAGTAAGACAGCGAGGGACAGAGAGTAAGAGAAAGAAAGAAGGGGAGATAAAGGGACAGACAGAGAGAGTAAGACAGTGAAGGACAGCTAGAAAGAGAGAGACGGAGATGGGAGAGAAGAAGAGACAGACAGAGAGACAGAGTAAGACAGTGAGGGACAGAGAGAGGAAGACAGGAGAGAGAGAAAGGGTTAGGGGAGAGAAAGAAAGAGAAGAGAGTGATGTGAGGGAGAGAAAGTAGAGAATGAGAGGAAAACTGAGGGAGAAAGTGGGAAATAAAATGAGAGAGACACAGGGGGAGGAGTTACAGAATGAGAGAGAGGAAAACGAAAGAAAGGTGGTTAGGGAAGGAGGAAGTCAAAGAGAATGAGATAAAGAAGAAGGGAGAGAGAAGGGGTAAGTGAGAGAGGCAGAAGGATTGAGTGAGAGGGAGAGACAAAGAGAGTGGGAGATGGAGAGAGAGACATTGAGAAATATATATAGAGAGAGACAGGGAGAAAGAGAGAGAGACAGGGAGAAGGAGAGAGAGAGAGGGAGACAG